CAGCACTTTGAGAAGCCAAATCTCGGCTCAGCGCCTGTGGCTCAAGTGGCTAAGGCGCCAGCCACATACACCTAAGGTGGCGGGTTCGAATCCTGCCCGGACCCGCCAAACAACAATGACGGCTGCAACCAAAAAATAGCCGGGCGCCTGTGGTCCTAGCTACTTGGAAGGCGGAGGCAGGAGACTCGCTTGAGCCCAGGACTTGGAGGTTGCTATGAGCTGTGAAGCCAGGGCACTCTACCCAGGGGGATAGCTTGAGGCTCTGTCTCAAAAAAACAAAAACAAAAACATAAAACAAACAAACAAAAAAACCATAAAACAGATACTGGTATTTCTGGCTTTCAACTGTCCAATCTTTTTTTTTTTCTGTGAGACAGAGCCTCAAGCTGTCGCCCTGGGTAGAGTGCTGTGGCATCACAGCTCACAGCAACCTCCAACTCCTGGGCTCAAGCGAGTTTCCTGCCTCTGCCTCCCAAGTAGCTGGGAATACAGGCGCCCGCCACAACACCCACCCGGCTATTTTTTGGTTGCAGCCATCATGGTTGTTGGGCGGCCCCGGGCTGGATTTGAACCCGCCAGCTCAGGTGTATGTGGCTGGCGCCTTAGTTGCTTGAGCCACAGGCGCCAAGCCAAATTGTCCAATCTTTTATATTGGCTTATTTAAATCCACTTGTATCAATAACACATTGTCTTAATAAGAAAAGATATTATATTAACTATTCGTGTCTAATAGTGTTAAGTCTTTCAGTCTTGTTCTCAGAGAAATTAAAGAAAACCTAAACAAACGGTAGGAATATACTATGCTTATGAATTAGAAAACTCAGTGTTGCCAAGATATGGATTCTCCTTAATTTGATCTTTAGAGTATATATAAAATCCCAGCAGGTTTTCTTGTAGAAAGTAACAAATTTAAACGCCTGTAATCTCAGCACCCTGGGAGGCCAAGGTGGGTGGATCACCTGATCTCATGAGTTAAAGACCACCCTAAGGAAGACCAAAACACCCATGTCTTAAAAAAAAAAAAAAAAGCCAGGCATTGTGGTGGGGCACCTGTAGTCCCAGCTACTCAGGAAGCTGAGACAAGACGATCACTTGAGCCCAAGAGTTTGAGGTTGCTGTGAGCTATGACAACATACAGTACTCTACAGGAGGCAAGAAACTAAGTCTCTGTTTCCACAAAAAAAAAAAAAAGTAACAAATTTAAATTTATAAGGAAATACCAAGGAGAGCTCCAGCCATTTTAAGGATCAAAGCTACAGAAAATACATTACCAGATATTAAGAGATATAACAAATCTTTATTAATTAGGAGTACACAGTACTGGTACAAAGATAAACAAACTGACAAATGGATGGTCATATATGAAAAAGAATGAATCTTGTCCTCTACCTCACACCATACAAAAAAAAAAATTCCAGGTGGACTGTAGAGCTAAATGTAAGAGTTGAAATAATAAGCGTTTTAGGGAAAGATACAAAAGACACTTTCAAAACCTTAAGCTAAGCAAAGATTTATTAAACAGAATACAAAAAGCACTAAACTAAATGAACAAATTAGCATACTGGAATATATTTCATGACCTAGAAAAAGTTAAGACCTTTTATTTGTTAAATGATGCCTCTAAGAGAATGGGAAAAATATTTACAAAACATATCAAAGAATGTGTACTTTTAATATGTAAAGAATTCCTAGAAACTAATAACAAGACTGAGACCCAAAAGAAAAATGGATAAACTCTTGAATAGGCACTGGACAAATTGGGCTATTCAGTCAGTAAACAGTTAAAGACTTTCTACAAAGTAGAAAAGGCCTTCTTCATTAGTCAGTAAGGAAACCAGGGGAATGTAAATTAAAACAGCTCCACCAAAACAGCTAAAACAGGAATGGAGTACTGTTAAGAAAGTGGACTGAACTTTCATACACTGTTAGGCACAGCACACATTTTTGTATGAAAAATGGTGCAACCATTTTTTTTGAGGGGGAGGAATTAACTGTGCTA